CCAGGTGACGGGAAGAGGGGGACGTTGGCTCGCGGACCGAAGGATTCACCGGCCGTTCGTCTGAAGGCACAACGCCATACGGCTGAAACCGCCGACTGACACACAACAACACCCTCCCTCACACGGAAAATCGCCTCGAGGACAACAGCTGAGCCAACGACGACGACGATGACGACTTCGACACCGCACTACAGCAGCATACGCTGGCCACCGGAAAGTCGGGCAATCGAAATCGGAGAGTCCGTACCAAGCGCTCGTTCGTCGGTTGATGATGAGTCTAGGAAAACGTCTGCGATCAATCACTGAAGAAAACGAGGAATCCGTGCAAGTGGACCGACAGACCAGGGGCGGCTCTACCGGCAGCACGGGTCGGCCTATGCGATGGGTTACGGTAACAAATGAAAAAAGTGTCAAGTAAAAACATTGGGGAGGATTACATGGACAACGAAACGCATCGTGAAACGTAAAAGAAACGCAACACCACCTCAATCTACATCGTCTTGCATTTGAACCAACCATTTGTCAACGACCAGGTGTCCCCGGTCCGCTCCAAGACCGCAAGGACACGTTCGATCAATCAGCTGAGCAGAAGCAAGAAACCGACGCAAAGCCATGTTTACTTTTACCTGATAGTTTTACGGCAGGCATGACAAAAACCGCTCCAAAAACTGGGAAATCCTTTGCACGAACTCTACACTCGCGACCTATCGCACTCGCCAAGCGACATGCGCTAGCAATAACCGTCGCGACAAAGGAAATTATTACCGGTCAATTACTGTTACTAATGATTTTCAAGTACAGTTGTCTTCGACGCACATAAAAATCACGTCAATAACTCGTTATTATGTAGTAGAAATTGGGAATTGTTAAACAAATGGAATAATAATTTTAAAGCAGTGCAACGCTAAGAATGAGTGGAAGCATATATGTATTTTAGTTTTACAATTAGCAGCACGTGTGCCTGAATAATTACGAAGCTTCCTGAAAGCAAGACAAAACATATACTCTTTGCTCAATCGACCGACTGAGAATGATCTGTATCAAGCAATTGCCTCTCTAAAGACATAAGTTATCTTCTGCAGATATGTAGACACTGTCATAAAACCGAGAATATTGCAGACCTCTGCCCGACAGGTCTGCCTTTGTGACCTGAAAAGATGAGCGGCCATCGATCCTAGCCGCTTAAATGTACTAACACAATTCGACTGAAACTAAATTCGCATCGGTCGTCATAGAAATATATAACATTGCCATATATTAGCTAGTACTTCATCTGATCGACGAATCGCTTTGCTATTTTAATTTATAAAGTAATTTATAAACTAAATGCCTGACAGT